GCTCGCACGTGCCGGGGAGGTGCCGTCTGCCCGTTCGCTGCCGGTGGTGCTGGGGAGGGGCAAGCACGGCATGGGGCGGCGTGCAGCAGCGGTGGGTGGTCTCCTGTTGTGGGCCCTGGGAGGGTTTTTCAGCGCTGCTGAAAGTCCTTTGAGTGCTCCAGAGGGACCAAAAGCATAGGAAGCGTTTCGGGGTGCACCTATAGCCCCTTTCACAGAGTTGAATCTCCAGAGCGGGTGGCATACCTCCAGGAATGTTGTTTTCCCTGAGGTTCAGCCAACGCTCAGCTGTGCAGTCGCGCTCTTGGCTGAGAACTCGGCTGTAAGCGTGACACACAGGCACACACGCAAAGATGTTTCCATCCCAGAGGACCTCCACAAAGCGCGTTTGCAGCCTGCAGGGCCCTGCTCCAAAACTCGCTTTCTGACTGGCTTTTTGGAGTCGCTGGAAGTGAAATTGCTGGAGAAACTTACCCAGAGGTGGGAAGGAGTTTGGCTGTGTACGAAGGAGAAGAGAAGCGCAGTGGGAGGAGGAAGGAAGGCTGATTACTCAGGGTAACAGAGAGAGAGGAAAACCGAGAAGAGGTGTAGGTTGAGTTGGAAGAAAAACGCTATAGAAACTGAAAAGATCACAAAGATTGAGGCTGAGGTTGGGGGAATGTCACAGGCAAAAAGGCACCTGAGCCCGGCCTGTTTCTTTTGAATGTGCTTGAAGTATCTCGACACAGCCCAGCCTCGCTCCTGTGTACATGGTCTTCTCTTTTTTTGCTGGATTCGGAGCAAAGGAGGAGAAAAACTCTGTCCTCACTGAATAGCTTCCCAAGTGCGTCACAGCTTAATGCTAAGCTACGTGGATGGTGTTCTTAGCGGTACGCGACATTCCCCTTTGTGTGAATGCTGTGACTTTGATTTTCTGTCTTTGAAGTGGGGCTGTTGTTGCTGGATTTCATAGGTAGTATCACTTTGCAACAGCAGATAGAACTTGTTTATTTTTAAATAAACGGCCTGCCTCTTAGTAGTGCTTGCCTGTCTCTCAACAATAGAAAACAGAGAGAGGATATGTAAAATAGTCAGACAAGAAAGTCTCTTGGAAGACCTAGGTAGGATAAACCTCCTCTTGTCCCAGATCATTTTTGCAGCTTGAACCAGCCCCTCCAAGTGTCCCCCAGGACAAGCTCTGTGAGGTGCTAGAAGAGATGATGCCAGGTGGGATGAGGTCTCCTTTCCCAGCCATGGTGTAGATCTGAGCCTTGCCCACTTCACAGCTGCCTGTCTCCAGCCCCACGAAGCGGGTGTCGCGTCGCTTGCAGCCAGTTCAGGCTGGGTATCACAGCCAGTAGAGCCAGGAATGACATTTTCTTCAAATATTTTTATGTGCTGAATGGGAGAGCTTTGCAATCCAGCTCTTGCTTGCTCCTGCTGACGGCTTTGCGATGCCTGGACTGTGCCTCAGCGTCACAGCTCTTGGCTTGGGTTTTGCTGTCCAGGTTCTGAGGAGATTTTTCCTTTCCCTCGCTCACCAGACAGTCAGTGGTAGGGAAGGGCCAGAGTCTCTCCTGCCTGCCGTGATTTGATTTCTCTCGTGGGAAGGGGACCGTCACAGCCCTGCAGCTGCCTGGCTGGCGGGGAGGAGCGCAGCTGTAAAGGTCAGCAGTGCCTTGGGGTCTGTGGAGCAGAGGCTGAACTGCACCAGGGGGCTGCCCCGTGGTGTGCCTTGAGATATAAATGAAGTGCCTGGCAAGGCTGGCCCCTAATGAGTGTCTCATCGAATTTGTCAGCCCTCCTCCTTGTATGGCTCTGTCCAGAAATCTTCGTTTCAGCTTGACCTCCCTCTCTTTTCCCCTGGAACCCCCTGTTCTCCACCCAGGCTGCTTCTCTGACCTCTGCTGCTGGGACAGCTGAGAGGGTTACTGCTCCATCAGCTTCTCCTCACCCTGCGGCTGGCAGTTGCTGCCCCCAGGCTCTGCCCATGAAGCAGAGCATGTGAGATCTCGTCTGCTGTCTCAGTACGAGTCAACACGATTGATCCCAGAGGGCTGAATTGAGCCACTTGACTTTGCACTGGAGCAGATCGGGAGCTCTCCCTTACCAGCTCTGTGCCGAGATCTTGTCCTCAGACAGAAGCCAGGCACTGTCCAGGCAGAGGTAAAGCTACCTGGGGAGAGAACAGCCCGCAGGGAGCAGCAGGCTGCTTGTGCCTGTGCCACATCAGAGATGCCTGGCCTGCCTGCCTGCTGCCATTACTGCTTTTGCTGCTCTGGGAAGGCTCAGGGCGCATGTGAAAACAGCTGAGGCTGCTGCAGGGAACCATACCCCGGCAGGCAGCGCACCACAGCTGGCACCAAGAGGGAGCAAAGACCGTTGCTTCAACTCTCCTCGTCTTCCCTCCCTTTCCATCTCACCTTTCCTTGGGAAGAGCTGATGCTTTGCCGTTGCGACGCAGGAATAGATCATCTAACAGGTCATGAGATATGTGGGGATTCTTGTAGTCAAAAAAAAAAAAATCCAGCTTATGTTCAGCCAGAACCTCTGGTGATCCCCCATCCCACCACAGCCGTCTCCTACTCAGACATCCCAAAGCCACAGCGTTCACCCCACCTCTTCATCCCCTGGGCATCCATTTTGCTGTTGGATGTTCACCTGCACCAATTCTATGACAGCTTGATGTGGCCCTGATATAAGCAGAGCTCAGAGGGGGGTGCCTGGGAAGGGTTTATTTGCCCCGTCTGGGGAGCACAGGAGCTAATGCTGTTGCAGTATCTCTTCCAGGCTTGGACTTTCCCGGTTGCTTGGCACCCTGTGGTAGCGGGAACACAAGAGATTTTAACCCCGTGCGCTGAAAACGCCTGGTTTAATGCGTCCTTGGGGTTGGCCGCACGTGGTGGGACCAAAGTGTGTTACACAGAGTGCTGACCCACTGCTTTGTTTTTGTCAGCATCTGCATCATCATGAACAGGCTCATGGGGCAGCTTGTGCAGGCTGGCAACGTGCAGCTTGACTCCTGGCAAATTTCTCATCCTCACCCTCTGTGCTGTAGCTGGTTTAGGCAGGAGTTAGGAAGGCACCCTGCATTTTTAAGCTTCCTTTGCCCTAAAACTATGGGAATCTCTCCCAAGTCTGAAGCGCAGAGTTCTGTTCCCTCTGGTTCTCAATTCGGGATGTAGCATCTCCTAACGGTTTGTGTGACTTCTCCCATACTCTTCCCCAACTTTGTTCTGGGGCCACGTTTCTCCTTTCAACTGATCTTTACCACCAGGTTGTGGGCCAGCTTTCGCACTGTGGGGTTGGTGCTGTGGTGACTTTGCCCACAGCCTCCACACGCTGTCCCCAGGTGCCAAGAGCAGCGCGGCACCCTGGATATTTCAATAACTTCTCAGGTGGTGGTTAGTGTTTCAGACTATGAAGGAGCAGAATGCTCTGCTTGAATACATAAAGTCTCTTGAACTTTACTGCAAAAACATGTTTTCGTTGTTTAGAATGAAAGCAAGAAAAGCAGTTTGGGTCTCTTAAAAACGAAAGAGATTTCTTTTTTCTCCTGTAGTCTCTGCCAAGTTACTTGTAGCTGCTGAGTAGTCAGTAGTACCTGACTTTGGGCACGTCAGGTCACCGGGGTGCTTGTCTCGAGCTGCCTTTGCATGAGGTCGTGTTGGATAGCGGATGCCTTACAGGGATTGGACTAGATGATCCTTTGAGGTCCCTTCCAATCTCTGACATTCTGTGATTCTGTGAAACAGCCACCCTGGCTAGGGGAAACCCTGGCGTCGCCTCCCTTTCTGTAGCGTAAAGGGTAGATTAAAAAGTGCTGCGTGTTAGGTGGAAGCCACTCATTCTTCGTCTGCCCTTTTTTCAGTACCTGGAAGCAGTTCTGACCCCAGTAAGTTGTGATCCATGGCTACAGTGCTAATATGCCGAAGATTTCCAAGACTGAGCAGGGTGACTACGTTTTCGACTACAGCCAAGTGCAAGGCCACGAGCGGGAGCAGCAAAAGTGAGCAGAACAAAGAAGAGAACCCAGAAACAGCCAACACTGGGACCGAATCTGTGGCTACAATCCAGCTGCTGAATCCTCTGGACTACAAAGTATCGTACAATCCATCTGCCTATGCCAAAAGCAGAGCTACCTCCCAGCAGCATGCTGCTAGGAACAGTGTCCAGGCTCTCGGTGACACCTTCACCGGCTCTGGCACTGCACAGGCTCAGCATAAATTTGGGACCACCTCTTCTCAAGCTTTGCCACCCCTCAGCAGTGCCCTGCCAAAGCCCGAGTCCAAGCCAGTCCTTGAGAAGACTGTGTCAGCACACCTCTCTGCGGCACAAACCAAAGAGGAGGCAGAAGATGAAAAAACAGAAAAGCACGACTCCAAGGAGGACCCTCGCATGTTTCAGAAGGGGAGACCTGAGTACCGATCCCTCAGCTACGACAAGTTTGAGCCCATAGAGACCCTTCCTTTAGAAGAAGGCGAGTCAATTTTACGCAGCGTGGCCACGTGCCAGGGCAGCCAGAGCCCGGGAACTCTCACGGATTATTTTCGCAAGCTGAGTCGTTTGCCGCTGGAAGCAGGCGCAGCGCTGGTGTCCGAACCCAGGTTTAGTACGTTGTGTCGCTGCGCTGTCAAAAACATGGAGTCGTTCAGCACTTCGGACCTGATGGATGTTTTAAAGGCTTGCATCCGTCTGGGCGTTCCACCCACCCACCCTCTGCTGAACGCCTGCGAGAACGAATTCTGCCGGCGGGTGTGGGACATGGACCTGGAGCAGCTGCTGCTGGTGGCCGATTACTGGCGCTGTCTGGAGCGGAGTGTGCCTTCCTACCTCAGCATTTTGTTCAGCTATGCCAACATGCACTGGAAAGACCTCACTTTGCCCCAGTTTGTCCAGCTCGTTTATATCATAGGCGAAGGCCGGAGGTCACCCGCAGACTTGCTGCAGAAGATGGAGAGCAGGATTTTGAAGGACTTGGACTCTTTCACCTTGGAGGAGGTGGGTGCTATCTGCTTAGGGCTCTTCAAGTCCACCAGCGGTATCTCTGACCACGTCATGAGAAAAATTGCAGACAGAGTCTCCCTGCAGATGGAAGACATGAGCACCTACGCTTTGGTGAACGTGCTTAAAATGCTTCGCTACATTCGCATGGACCACTTACCCCTCTTGAAGGAACTGGGAAAGGTCATTCCCGCTCGGATTCCCACGGTAAACATCCAGGGCATCATGCACATCTCTCTTACCTATTCATCCCTACACTACTTTGATGAAGGCGTCATGGCTGCTGTAGCCATGTCTTTGCCTTCAAAGGTGACTTATTGCCGAAGCAAAGATGCTGCCAAGTTCTTGTGGTCGTTTGGATGCCTGGACTACGAACCTCCGAATGAGGAAGAGTTTTATTCCAGCCTGATAGAGCAAATGCATAGAAAACTCCATGAATTCAGGAAGTTTCCGGAGCATCTCCTTACTGGTTTGCTTGGCCTGGCATTTGTCAGACGCTTCCCAGAGGAGCTGATAGACTATGCTTTGAGGGATGAGTTTGTCCAGAAAACAAGAGGTAGTAAATATGAGCTCAGAAAGGACCTGTTCACCCTTGGTAAGAGTGTTGAAATTGAGTGTCCAAGCTACCAAGGCAGCCGCCTTCCCCCTCAACTCTCCCAGGAGATTACCGAGATGGTTTTGAACTTTGCAGAGGAAGAAATCTATGTCAGGCCTGAAATTGTGGAAGCCGTGTCTCTTCTCGAGAGCATGTTAGGTGGCCCCGGGTATGTGAAAAGCCACATGATCCTGCCTCACACGAGATCGAGTGATCTGGAGGTCCATTTGGCCTGGGATGGACATCCCATCCCTTTCAACTTAGAAGACCCTACTGCAGATAAGAAACTAAAAGACGTCGGAGTTAGGCTAACGGATGACTTAATGACTCAGCTTATAAAAGGGACATCTAACAGCCAGTCTCCTGTGGAAATGCAAAATGAAGCCAGGACTTCCGGCCGGGAGAGGAGGGAAGAAGCACCAACACCACACGCTGGGGATCGGTCTGCACTTTCGGGTGGAGCGCTTGTCACAGGTGCCAGATGTCTTGAGCCCCCACCTTCTCCTGCGTTGAATCAGCGTCCTCGGGAGGTGAAACTGGCTATTCAGGTGTCCAACCGAAACCACTACTGCTACTGCTCCAAGCGGCTCCTGGGGCTGCACTGTTTGAAACGGCGGCAGCTGCGGCAGCTGGGCTACGTGGTGGTCGAGCTTCCCTTCTGGGAATGGTTTCCTCTGCTCAAACGCACGCGCCTGGAGAAGCTGAGCTACCTCCATTACAAAGTGTTTGACCCGGCGCTGCTTAGCAGGGCTGGCTAGTCTGGTGTGGCCCCGGCTCAGAGGCTGGCACGGCCTCCCGAACGTCCCCTCTTTCTGATCACCAATTGAAATGGCCTCTGGGTGTTGGTTCAGTTTTTGGCAGGTGCTCTGATGCTCAGGCTGCCTCGCTAAGTTCAGCGGTTCTGCTCTGCTGACAGTCCTGTCTCGCGTGCTCTCCTTTCGTACGTATCTCCTCAAATGCTTCCGTGACAAATAAAAACATACTGTCCTATTCTTTTTTCTCCATGATTACCTTTTTTCTCCGCCCTAAATGAAAGTGGATGGGTTTGGTGACTCTGGGAGAGCAGAACAGTGATGCTTGGTAGAGAATTGGGGTGATTTTTAGTTCTGATCTTTATTCTCCTTGATTACCTTTTTTCTCCGCCCTAAATGAAAGTGGATGGATTTGGTGACTCTGGGAGAGCAAAACAGTGATGTTTGGTAGAGAATTGGGGTGATTTTTAGTTCTGATCTTTATTCTCCTTGATTACCTTTTTTCTCCGCCCTAAATGAAAGTGGATGGATTTGGTGACTCTGGGAGAGCAAAACAGTGATGTTTGGTAGAGAATTGGGGTGATTTTTAGTTCTGAAGCTGACCTGGGTGTCAGGAGCGCTTATTTCCGTACTGTTTCCGCCACCACTGAGGAAAGGCCAACAGTCTGAGTTTCTCCTTTAGGAGCTGTGCATGAGCAGGACACAGCAGGAAAGCTGAGTGGTGAGATGGAGGCTGGAGCTGAGAGTTGGGCTGCTCTAACTCTGAGACATTAATTTCGTGCTCGGCTCTCAGCAGTGCCTGGCAGAGAGCATTTGCCTCCTGTTGACCCTGTTGGTAACATCTGCCACCAAATGGGGCTGACAAGTCCACCTCGAGGTGATTCACCTGCCTGGGGGCCTTGAAGTCCTGTGCAAACTCGACTGCCAACTCCAGCTCTGTGGAGCATCTGCTCTGGAGGCTTCTGGTTTCACTCTCTGTCGCAAGGCTCATCGTGTTATTTTCGTGCTCAGGACGGGGCCCAGTGTCTGGTGTCTGCACACCGTTCTGAGGACAGAGTTGCTGGCTTCTTCCTGAGCTTTCAGGTGATGTTCCTCTCCAAGAGGAGGGAAGTTTCCTGAGGTGCTCAGGGCAGGATCTTCACCTTACCAGAGCTGCAGGGATTATTTCACGTGGAGCAGCATGTGAAGCTCCCATTCCTACTGCAAAGGCAGACGAGCTGTTGGGGCTGTTTTGCAGTGCGGCGTTTCAAGGTGTACTGAGGTGGAGGATGGGGAGGAGGGGTGGCTGTAAGCAGGTTGTTGTCCCAAGACAGATCCTGTATAATAGCTTATTTTGGCTGCCTGGTTTAAAATGGCTGGGCTGTTTTTTTTTTCCTCTCCCTGAAATACTCAGCGTTACGGAGCACTCAGCGTTCAGTGCCCACTATGGATGTTCCTTACTGCAGCAGCTCCCGAGTTGTATGTAGGACACTAGGAAGGCACTTAGTGACTAGCTCCAAAAACCCTGGCTTTAAATGACTTGTCCAGGATCACAGAGGATCTTGCTGGCGTAGAAAAGTACAGAGTATTCAGTCCGTCAGGTCTGCATTTCACTGCCTCAGTCCAAAGATCTTCATTCGCCTTCGGGAAGCCACACACCCCAGAGAGATGGGACAGTTGTGTGACATCCTGATGGCACTTTGTAGTCTTTGAGTCCTCTGTGATCTTTGAGTCGTTTGTTTTGCCAGGCCACGACTTTAGCAATGCAGTTTTCTAGCTGTTGTATTTTTAAAGCATTCCTAAGTTCAGAACGTCCGTGTCACAACCACCTGGGTTGTCACTGGCCCGGGAGACCTCCACACAAGTTTGGGGCATAATGGCAACCGTAGGCATAGGAAGCCACATCTGCTGCCCTGTCTCATTCTTTTCCAGAGCTTTTTACAGTCTGCATTTCCCCAGCTCTTGCGTCAGCCCAGGCTCTTTGTCCCCATCTGATCTGCTCCTCACCTGCTTTTGCCTGTCCCTGCTGATTTTTGTTCCAGCCTGCTTCTCTGGCCTCAGCCAGCCCCTTTACCTTCCTATCACACTGTGTCCAGCCAGTTCTCACTTTCCTTCTTTACATGGAAGCTTAGTCCTAATTTCATTCTGTTTAATCTATCCCTTCCTAATTTCATTCTGTTTAATCTATCCCTTCATCCCCACTGTCTGTCTTCTGAGTTGCATTTTCATGGGAAGAGTAAAAAAAACATAGCCATGGCTAAAAGTGACCAACTTTTGCTGTGAAGCAAGAGCGCAGCAGAGCTTTCCAGAAGAAAGGAGAGCAGTGACATGCAGAATAATGCGTTTTCCTACGGAGATGTGGAACCTGGGAAAATTAGCCTGAGTTCTTTAAGTCTGTCAGATTCACAAACAGGTAGGAGAGAATCATACAAAATACACCTGTATGTACAGACAAAGCTCCTCACGCTGCAGAACCGGGGGGGTGAATTGAAAGGCAGCATGTTTAGTTAGAGAATAAGTTGTTTGTAATTAACCAGAGCTAATTGCCACAGATTATTAAAAGCATGGTAGAAAAGGATAGATTCAGGACGCAACCTCACTAACAGCCTCAGGCATAGAAGAAGAGGCGAGTCCGTCCTGAGGAATGGCTTGCACCCATCTGTGACTTTCCTGGTGCGAGGAACAATGGAAAGAGGAGGTTGTGTGACCACAGGATCCACAGAATTTGGCATCCACCACCGGCAGGATCTCAGTAGATGGTGGCTCATGAGGAGCGGGTTCTGAAGACGATGAGTTTGGAGGGATGCAGAGGTGAAGGTGCCTCTCGCCACTCACTGTTGTTCAGGGGAGGTCTCACCAAGACTTGCCGAATGCGAATTCACCAGTCTGGTCTAGTCAGAAGGGATATGGAGGAGTCTTCAGCCCAGGAAAGAGACATGAGGAGAATTAGGAGAGAGGGCGAATCTTGTGTTGTTCCAAGAAAAGGAGCAAGAAGAGTTGGTTTGTCGTTTTTCATAGTACCAGCACTGAGAGTGCCAAGCTAATTTACCCGGCAGCAGGTTCAAGATGAACCAAAAGCGGTGGCTTTTGTCACACATCTTGTAGTTAAACTGGCAACCTTTCTCCCGCAAGGTGTGGGTGCCAGAAGTCAGACCAGTTCAAAAGCTTGTTTGAACAATTCCTCACTGGCAGCCCTATACTGGGAGCCTCTCAGACTCAGAAAACCAAGAAAGTAGTATCGGAGGAGCATTCGTTTGTGCTTGCCCTGTTCCTCTGTACCCTGTTGAGGAGCCGGAATCGCTCCTGATGGCCGTCACATCAAATATTGGGCTAGAAGGGGTGCTCATCTGACCCACTGCAGCCCTTCTTAGGTTTACACATGCTTCGGTCGAGCATTGGCATTG